CAAAATCATCTGATCCTTTCTAAATTGTTACGACAATGTAAGACAGCTGGTTGGACAGATGATTTTTTGGAGTTATTAGTTTTTTTAAATAATTAATAATTTATTTACTGGCTTTTAATTGTTATTGTTTATTCTTTAAAATCATCTGATCCTTTCTAAATTGTTACAAGAATGTAAGACAGCTGGTTTTCCCTAACAACAAAATTTAGTTTTTTTACTAGATGGTAAATGTATTAAGTGTCCTATTTTTACCTTAACTATTGAGATCTGTTTATGGTTACGTAATGTACTCTGTATCAGATGATTTTGATGAATAAAAAATAACAATTAGAAGCCAGTAAAGAAATTATTAATTATTTAAAAAATTAATAGCTCAGCTGTTTGTTGTCCGTTCTTTAAGATCTATGTGTCATTTGATTTGGCATAAAATTTCCTACATTTTGTTATCCTTGTGTTTTTTTGTAACTCTAGTGGTTTTCATGTAATTTGAGGTCAAAGATTTTAGATGGCCGCCATTTTGAAACGGCTTTAGTCAACGAAATGAAATTTTGCATGTTTGTGTACCACGTTAAAATTACCAAGTGTGTCAAATTTAAAGTTTGTACCTTGATTCAAACTTGAGTTATAAGGTTATTTATAAAAAACACATTCAGACAGAGAGACGGAAAACGAGGCTCCGTCAACCCATGTTTATAATGTAAAATATTCATGTATTAACCCAAGGAATAATCCTGTGAATTTTTTCTAGAGAGTTCACAAACGATATATCAAATTTTTACTATGCATGAAATTCATCGTGAGCTTGGTTGTAAATACCATTTTACTGTTGTATTTATAGACAACTTTATTTAAGCAGGCTCAGTTTTAACTATTTGGTAACATGCACCAATCTTCAATAAACGTCTGTGAGAGGATCAGGATATTAGACAGCGTGAGGTATGATCTTGGGAGGCGACGGGTGATAGATTGGAGTGGTTCTTGATTGAATGGGCCACTAACACCAACCTTCGACCAGTTAATGCCTAACACGTGTTGATGGGTTTATCCCTACACCTTCGCACGGCATAACACCATATATTAAAATATAAATGTTTGTATTTACATAAATTTCCATTATTACAAGTATGTAGCCATAGTTGGGTGATGATGGTGTTTTAATAACAATGCAAAGATTGCACTCATTGCTTCTTCTTGTCACGTTACCAGTAAGAAAATGACAATTGTGGGAAGAGTGACGGGTGCCATGATCGGATGTTAGCCGCAAGCAAGGGAGGTGATTATGATGTCACTGTGGTCGCATAAAGTAGCTTTGCACCCAGGTACGGATTTACTAACGCCTTGCTCGCCCTCTTGGTACCGGCATCCCAGTCCCTACATTTAAACGTCGGTTCTCGGCACGTAACCGTACCTAGAATTTTCTTGAAGTGTAACACATCGATAAATTAAACAGTTTGTTTTTCAAATTATTATCCTCTACGTCTGGGTATTTCTAATTTTAACAAAATGAGTAAACAGAAATTATTTAAGCTATTAGTGTTCTTACTGTTAAAGTAGGTATACAAAGACTATTGTGATTCGACGATGGGTAGATGATCATATAGACGTAAATACGATAACTGCCACAAAAACTACCATTGAAAATAATCACTTTAAAATAGGAAGGTATACACAGGATTATTGAAAAAATGTGCAAAATTAAACGGTTGGCACGTCTGTTTCTGTGATTTCAAATTGTTGATTGTTACACAGTTTAAAAGTTTTTGACAAGGCTATGTTTTGTTGATTAGTTGAGTACCACGAAGCCTGTAAGCAAGTAGCTACACTCTACTACCAAACAAGAATACTCATTTTATGTTTATAATTTCTCGTACTGTACTAATGCATTGTTAATGTTCAGAGGGACTTTCAGACCAAATTTAGGAAGAAGGCTGCTTATCAACTGCTTGCTTGTTGGATAAGGCAATTCAAGACAACTGGACGTAAAAGTATTCCCATAAAAGTTCCTCTCTCAAATTTAAAAGCTAAGAAAAAATAAAATAATTTCTTCCCTATTGGGAAAATTCGCTAAAAAGAATCATTCCATTAATCAAATATTATATTAAAATTGATTGCAAAAAACTCTCAACATATTTGAATGAGATCTCAACTTTGAAAACCATCATGAACACTGGACAGGCAGGGGTGTTGTTGATGTTTTTAAGTTCCAGTGAGCTGAAAATCTTCTGTGGCTGTTATAATCAGAGGTTTCAAACTATGATAGAGGTTTTTCCCGGAGGAGAAATATAAGCAGATGTGAATGTGGTTTGACCTAGTCAGCTCTGACATATACTGACATTGCATATTCTCAAGGGAGGATTGCTGCTGTACATCTTCCTGACTGAATGAATTCAATCCAGTCAACTGACATTTCAGTCAAATGCCCCCTTCCCTCTCTTAAAAACAAACAACTTTTTGAGCATGGGTCTAAAGTGTAAATTTCCTTTGGTTTTACACTTATTTTGATAAAATGCACTAAAGCAAATACAAATGGTTTGCTGCGAGAGGTGTATTTTTTATGGATTACAACCTTCAATTTATGATGGGATTGATGGGGAAACTGTATTAAATACAATATGAAACAAGAAGAAAAGAGCTTAATATTAAACTACAGTACACTCTGCCCTAGAAATGTTTCTTGTTTTTCAACATCATATCATAGTATGCAGATTTAATGTTTTAGCCATGAGTGAGGTCTCTATCAATATTATTAACATTCCAAAACCTAAGTAAACAACTTATATAAGATTTACCTTTTTGGTACATCATATGTAACCATAAGTAATAGTTGACAGAAAGATAAAAAACCTCATATAAGAAAAACAACTTAGATTTTTACAGTTACTAACAATTTAGATGTATTTAGTATTTACATCTGAACAGACTGTAAGGAAACTCAAACGTGAAATGTAAACCAAGGTATCAAAGAGCTCCTCTACCAAGGGAAATAGTCTTGGTAATCTCTCCAATCCCATGAGTTAACAATCCGGCTGCACAGACTCCGAACTTTGGCGTCAATCTGCACAGTGTTTAAACGGCTTTTTTGGTGTTTGTAAGCATTTTTGAACACCTCATTTTCACATTTATTAGCAGGCTTTGAAAACAAACATGTCTTAAAGGTTTAGGATCTGAGATATAATTCAAGTTGTCCCTGTCCCTCATATTAGACTAACATCATTGACTATACACCTCTACGATAGAGGTGTATATGCTATTATTTAGTTGTTTTTATTTCTTTTTTTACCTCTACGATTGACTTGACTAACAATCCCTCCTTGAACTGTCTGTGGATTTTAAAAATATTTTGCCAACTTAATGTCGATCAACGGCTTGATGTAATGAGCCTAATACAAAGCCTTAAAAATTATTGTAAGATGTCCTTCCAGTTTCGACATCCCTTACATTCTCAACAGCTCACCCCAATACAAACACATCGTTGTGCTGTCCCAAAGAAAATCGTTAAAGGGCATAAAATATTGAAAATTGTTATCGTCTCAATCAGTAATTATATTTTTGTAATAAAACCTACCTAACCTAGAGAGAAAATGAAAACATGAAAAATTTATTATTTCCAGTATAGTTTTGTTCAGTGGTTTGAGAGCTCTAAAAAATGTAAAGAGTTGCTCCGAGAGATTGACTTTCAAGCAACAAGAATAGCTTGGATTCAATATTGCAGCCTCGGTATACAAGGACTTGATTGGATATTGACATAGCAGATGGGTAAATCCTGTTGGTTGTCTTATCTAGGTCATGTATACAGAGTTTCCCTGAACACCAAACAACTTTTTTCAGTGTGAAATTCCTGTCGAAATTGAAAAAATTCCCTATTACATTAGGAACAAGTTATTATAAAATCTTTTTAAAAACTGTTGGAACAAAAGAACGGAAGAAGGACATCTGTATCAAATTTATTTAAGAAAACATTTTTAGTTTTTTTGTATTGATAACTTTCGGATCCTTTCTTAACGTAATCATACTTTGGCTGCACTGTTGGTGTGAAATTATATATGAGAATACAATTGAGGTCACAACACATGTTTTAAACTAAATTTTACAACAGTCCAAAGAACCTCAGTTCCTTTTTTGCATGTTGATGTTTTCAACATATTTTTCAGGGTTTCCATAAGAAATTTTGGTTTTTAAAAAGAAGTTAGAAAGATTTGTTTACAGCGCTTCATATTAAGCCGAATTAACACTGGAGCTCCCAAACAAATGTTTAAAACTCTGTTTTTTTTTTTGCAACAATTGTACTTAAAACTCTTTCCTCAATTTCCATTTGCCTTTTATTTTGTACAACAAAAACCATCCTGAAAGGCTTTGCCCTATATGGTTCTAAATTTTTCAATTATTTAAATGTGATTATTTCTCTTTCATTGTGTTGTTTGATTTTAAATAAGTTGAATAAAATTCAAAACAAAATTTCAGACAAGTTGGAACAATTTTTTATGTTTATGATGTTATTTTTCATTACATAGGCTACCTAAAAACATGGTGACTAATTGCATAAGTCAAAAAAGCATATCTTGATGTCTTATTATCTTATTATGGAAAACTTTTTGAGAGTTTGTGTTAGGATTATGAATACACATAGCAAGATATCTTATTTTACACCTATTACTTTCTTAATGGGACGAGTATACATTAATTGTACGTACCGGTACTGGGTACAGTTTTGGTTTCATTCTGATTTTTAGTGATTGATTTAGGACCTTTTACCATTAATTGATCATTCACCCTGTTGGACATCTATCATCAATCAGTGACTATCATTAATCTATTATTAATCAGTGACTCAATATTATCTTAGAATTTGCTTCCTAACTAAAGGTCAACACAGATTATTCTCAAGTAAGAATCAACACCTAAAATGTTTCCTCGCAAACAAATGTATACCATTAATAAATTCCAATGCTGTGAAATAGCTAAAGCCTGATGTAGTTTTTGAAATGTGACATAATTTGCAGACTTGCTGTGAGATGAGAGCTCTGGAATGGCTACTACTAGCAAGCGTGATGGCAGCGTGCTTCTCTCTACCTTCATACCAGGACTCTGGACCTGAGCAACCCTTGGTGAGCAGATCTCCAAGTCTTAGTAAACAAAAATTGATTTAGAACAGGAACCTACTGTAACAATTTAATTGGTAATGGATTTACAATGATTTTTACATTGTTGGTGTTAGTGATTTTTGGGACCTCGTCCAGTAATAACCATTTTGGGCCTTTTATCAGCTATGTTTTTTATTAAAACAAATCATAGTACTTTTATCAACTAGTAAATTTAATATAAAAATTAAATGAAATTATTTTGTTATCATGACAATGAAGTTTAAGACATCTTTAAAGTTCAATTAGGAGTTTTGTTTGATTGCTTTGGCCTTATTTTTGGATGTTGGGTCACCCATCATCAGAATGACAAATACTTCACACATAGTGTCAATTGTACTTACGATATACATTCAAGGTGTGTGCATGAAATGTTTAAGGACATTATTTGAATACGAGCATGAAAAACATTTTTCACTACATGTACTCAGGACCTAAATTTTTGGGTCATCAGGGTTGATCGTTCATCATTGAAATACCAACAACTTGTTTAATGTCACAGCCTGATTGAGTGTTAACAACCAGACTCTCAAACATCCATCAATCATGTCTTTACACAATTTGCTTTCAAATAATTTTCAAACGAGTTTCAGATAGGCAAATCCAGAGTGACAAGAGCTACATATAGGAGGCCGCCGAGCTTTCTTTTCTTGCTTGGACAGTTTTTTGGTCAGGTAATATTTTAATATTAGCAACAAACTTTATCCTAAGCTATTAATAGTTTTGGTTACCGTACATTCTGTGTGGTAAAAGTGCAAAAGAGACAAATATTGGTTGGTCAGCTGTAACCAAAGAACTTTACAATTTAACAATGAAGTGTTAATCATTCATTTGTGATGAAAGATCAACATTATCTGATTGAAGGGTATAATGATTTGCACTTTCAACTAGTTGTTAAGATTACTTAGTGTTTTAGCTTGAAGACATGATTTCTAAAATAGACAGATATGAGGATGTATGAACAAAAATGTCTATTTAAAAGTCACGTTTCGTGGATAGATATTTAAAATAAAAGACTTTTCCGTTCTACCTAGTAGTTTATTTCAAAAGTTATCCTCCATTTCCTGTGACACAAGCTTGTGATATGTTCTTTCCAAAAGCACCTGCTTCAAAAATTGGCATGATTTACTTTTACAGACAATATCTGACACTGGAGCAGCTGCCAGAAACATCAGTAAGATATTTAATGATCAGTTCACCACTACAACACCCTCTCCAGATGTAAGTAGTTACAGATAACATAGCCAACACAAGGCTAAAGAATGGTAAGCATGATGTAAAGAATTTGTTTGCACTACTGATACTTAACGAGTTGATTAACTATTGGTTATAGCTGTAAAAGATAAAAGATAATTTGCCATAACTATTCTATTTATTTAAACATGACAGGGATTTTTTATTTCACAGTCCTGAATCAACCACTTGACGCATTCTCATGATTTTTGTGTTGAAAGAAAGATAATTTTGAAATGAAGGGAATGTCAAAGCCATAATTTTAATTCAGGGTTTCAGTTTGTTTAGAAAATTTATTCATAATTTTTAAAAGTCTAGCAGCTAACCAACGCTAGCAATTTAAGGTCCTTATTTTCCGATAAATTTCTCATAAAGACCTTTCATTCAAGTACCGGTATGCGGTTGATAGGTGTGCGGCTTACATTTTCTCTATAGTTTGTGTTCCTTAATGTATATGTTACCGGCAAAGTATAATCAGGAATGCTATACAATGCTTAATGAATCAGGCAAAGTATGAAATTAAGCTCATTAGGTCATATACTTAGTCTTACATACAAAGTCATTCTATAGAATGTCCGTTGGCACTGCAGGTAAAGGTTGAATGATCAAAGTAAAGATCAATCATAAAGTTCCTTGTCGACTTTTCGGCAAACTTTTGGTATGTCATAAAAAAATTGCGCTTGTACCAGAGTTGGCTGCAACACCGAATAACTTGTTGGGCGTTCCGATTTAAAATTTTGCAGTTTTTCAGAATTTGGACACTTACTTTGCTCATATATGTTTTCTTATACTGCAAATTAAAGTGACACTTTTGTCACTTTAGGTCCTGCTGAAATATGACTGAGTGAAAATTTATAAACGTACGTTTTTAAGAAAAGCACTTAATAATTTTTTTTCTCTTTTTCAGAACTTTTTTTTATTGCATTTCCATTTGAAGTTTCATAAAATGTCTATGGTAACGCAATATCTTTGGTAGTTTTTTATTAATATAGCATATTTGACGGAAAAACACAAAATTCTGTCATACGACCATAACGAACGTAAAAATGAATATTAAAAATAGTTAATGGTATTTTTATAAATATGTTTTGCTGTAAATAGATTTAGTTTTAGGGCCATTTTGCAATAAAAAGCTCACTAAGCTTTTGGTATATTTGGTATAAAAAAAAAGAAATTAAACATTTTTTAAAAAGCTGTAAAAAAATCTCTTTAAGTTTGTATAGCTCGGAACAAACCTTACCGATATATGAAAAACCTTTATGTTTTTAATAAGGCTTCCTTCTTGTGTGTGTAAAAAAATTTGAATATGATGATAATATCAATTTTTGAATTTGTTATGATCCAAATCATCAACGTTGTGGTCAGGTACAAGTGTTATGGTCTGGAATTGGCGATTAACGAGAATCACTATATTGTTTATTTAGGTTTTCCTTCCACTACTCTTATTATTATAATATTCCACAAGAATTCATAAACCATAATTAATTTTTAAAATGTAATAGTTTTACACATAACTCCTATACACTATAATCTTTAACTTATATGAGGCAATAAAGATACCTGTCTATGTAAAAATAGTTAAAAATCTATTTTTTTACATCCTTAAATTAATTGTACTGTTACAAGAAAAATTGTTGTCGCAATTTACAAAGATATTAACATTTTTTTCACGACCATAACAAATTTCACAGTACAATTGATAAAGCTATTTTGGTTGTGAAAAAACCCGCGATGATCGTGATACTCTAGTCGTGAAATCACATATTATTTGGCTCTATTCTGGTGGCAGCCTTACACCTCATGTTTGAGGAGGCAAAGTGGATTTCTAGGTTAACGTAGCAATTCAAATGTTATATCAACAAAAATTAACACCATGTCTACTTTATTACACGACTAAGTACGGTTCGTGCACACCAAAATTACAAAAAGCCCAAAGTCACCTAAATTAATCTTGTACTTCATTTTTTTACCGCAAAACCAAGGGTACAACAACACTATTGCACAACCCGAACCAGTCTCTAAAACCAACCGACGTTATCGCTGCCAGGATTGCCACTGTCGTGTTCCAAAGTTGCAAATTTTGCCATTATGGTCGGGACGTCAAATCGAAGTACAGACCTATTTTGTCATAGTAGTCAGTTTGCAATGAAAACAAAATTATTATATGCTCCTTTTTTGTAAGTTTAATAACTATTGATGACTATAAAAACATAGCTTTATATACACTGTTTCTGAATGCAGGCTGTGACAGAAGAAGGTACAAACTCAACAGAAACTCCTCCTAAACCTATCACAAGAGACACACTATTTAGGATATTGGGCAACAACTTCAGAGGTCTGCAGAGGCTCTTCAACACAGAGTGGCAAGCAGCTGTGGATGTGAGTGTATACAAGTGTAACAAATTGGTTAACTTCATTTTAAATACTCCAGAGTACCAACAGACATAATTTGGAGCAGTATCCTGTTTTTGTTTGGTTTGCCTTTGTTTAAATTAGCAGAAATTTCAGTTAAGTTGAAAAAAACCACAGATTTTTTATGTCTGTAAATAGCAAAATATTGCTCTTAACATATGCAACAGGGTGAATGCTTCCGATCACAAAAACAATGTGATTATTCCCTGCGACGATTGCTCTGTCAATAGGTTTTAGCACATTGTTTAACATTTTCCAGTCAAACATAGCCTTTAAAACCTTTAAAAACAGGCAAATTGAATAAGTGTACCACGTAGGTTGATTTTGGCTGGATGTTGCAGCTTTCAAACTACCGACTGTTTGTAGCAGCAACACTTGCTTATTGAAGCTTCAAACAATGTTTTTGGGAAACAAATCAAAAGCTAAAAAGAATTTTTAAACAATGAATGGAAATAATCATATTGCCAAACCTGTAAGCAGTACGTATAATAGATAATTTCCACTTTGTTCATCCTCGCTCCCATTTGCGAGGGGGATGACTATTCCTACTCGTTATTAAATCAGGTGATTTCACTGTTGACGTTTCTATAAAACACTAAAATCCAAGAATCATACATAAAAAAGCAAAAAAAGCCTAAATGACATTTTATTTACAACTAAAAAGTAATCTGTTGTTTATGAGAGGATGGATTAAATAGGGTGAAAGTAAAAACCTCGTGATGTGTGTTAAGCATAAACAGTCATTGACGCTTTCAAAATCAGTGCTTCAGTGGCAATGAAATACTTTACGCTTTTAGTACACAAAAAGCTATTTCAAGAACTATGTTTTTAAGGTGTGTTGAAAAAAGTGCAAATTAAGAAATGGTGAAAAAAACCTCACAATATACAACCAAATGAAAACTAAAACAGAAAATTATTCAACCCCCTAACCCTTTAATGAAACAAGAATTAATTGTATGTATCTCATTATTTAAAATTTGAGTAATCTGTTATTATACTGTACTATATACTGGCAACTTTTAGAGTAAACACCAACATGCTTGCAATAGTTAACTATTGCAGATTTGAAAATGCAAAAGTAAAAAAAAAAAAATGCTTAAATAGTCGGTTTTAATTTGTTGGATCTGTCTGAATAGGCCACAATTAAAATCCTAGCATGTATAAATTGTACTTTTTACTACTTTAACCAAAATTTGAAACCTACTAATGTGACATAGAGAGATAGCCCAACTCAACACAATATGTCCATTCTATAAAGGATTTTAATTATACTTTGGCTATGGTTAAGTAGTAATGACAAATAAAAAAACTCTGTAAGGAGGAAACTATTGTAGATAATCAAAAGTTTGTATGTTCCAGCAATCAAGTACGAATGTGGCCAACTTCAGGAAGGAACTAAGGGAGGCTGTGAGACCATTCTTACTACCTAATAGAAACTTGACAAATAATCAAACATAGCATTGCTAAACAATTGTAGGGATTAGTTATTTATTCAATTTATAAATTATATAGAGAGGGATGGTATTAAAAATGAATAACTAGTTAAAATTCAACCTCTTGAATGTTTGAATTAGAGAAACTTCAAGATTTTAAATATACCATGTAGGAGAAGTTTCAAATTTTACACATTGACTTTTGGTTAATTCATTTTAATATAATTCCTCTCTTATACGTTTTAAGTATTTATCCCATTAATATCCTTTACATGTATTTTAAATATTGAAAAACTGTAAAAACTGTATATTGTACTTAGAAATGTATTATATTTGTGAATAAAAGTCCAAACATTATTATGTAATGGGTGTTTGGTAAAAAAGTCCCTCATGCGCCAGTTTATTGTAATCAGTGTTTCAGAACCCACACAAATTTTTTTTAACATCGTCCCTTGATTTGAAAGAAAATAGCCTATTAGTGGACAGCCTATATTCTGTATGATGGAACCTGTTTCCTAAAGCACGGGACACACTAGGCCGCTCGCCAGCCGCTGGTGATCAGCGACTGGCAATCAGCGACTGGCAACAGCACCACCAAGCAGCAGCTTTTGCACAGATCACACTAGGCTGCTTGTCAGCCGCTACACATTACTACTTTTAGTCGCTAGTTTAAAGCTCAATTCTTGTCGCCATTTCGTCCTTGGGTCCTCATAAATCAGTACTTAATCTAATATTGAGGATGTGTATGAAAGAAAAAGAACGTTACATAGAAGCAGGTATTTAAACCAATTTATATATTCAACGTAATTCAAAAATGACAACATCAATAATCAAAAATGAAAAAAGAACTTTATTTAAAGATGCTTAGTGAGGCGCATAAAGAGGCGTTAGTGGACAGTTAGTGGACCAAGCCTTGGATACAAAAAAGGAACAATTATGAGCTTATTCCAGCCGGTTGCAAAAATTAAAAGAAGATGAATCAGAAACATACAAAAATGTTTTACGAATTTCCCCACATACATTCCAGGAATTGCTAGAATTAGTTAAACCTCTAATTGAAAATATTTAGACAGGTGCTTTTGTGAAAACCCAAGTTATGAAAATTATTTTTGGTTGCCGCTGGCACGCTTCTGGAAGTGGTCTGACTACGCTGCTGGCTGGCATCAGCGAGTGTGAGTGGTCACGTGACCTCTAGCCCCCGCTGCCTCGCTACCAAAAGTTTACTTTGCCAGCCATTGACAAATGCTCGCTGGCTGCCGGTGTCAGCTGCGAATTTTGTGGTCACATTAAGCTGACAGTAGCGGCTTCTTTCAATTCGCCACTGATGCCAACCTAGTGTGACCCGTGTTTTATCTTTACCGAGGACTTAGCCTGAAGTCATTGTACAGTCCCCAGGTAGACGAATGATCAGGAAACAGGTTTCATCATAAAGAGTATACAAGTATTCTTGAGTGTCCATAAAATAAATTTCTATAGGTTTGTCACTTAGTTTATAATTATAAAAACATTAGGTTGTTGTACTTTAAAATTAATTTAAATTGGCGGGCAGGAATACACTCTAGACTGCGAAAGGTAATTCAAGAGGAAATACTTATAAGTAATTTATCTTTTATATGAAAATTCAGGAAACTGAAATCAGAACATAGTCTTATTTGAAAATCTTATTATTTATAAATAAAATTCAAAGTGTTGTAAAATAGAATATCAGTGATGATGAGTACATATTGAAAAGAAACAGGCTATCAATCGTACGCTTAACTGTATATTATACAAACTATGCACTACAAATAAATAAGAATGAAGTCAAATATATTTCGATGTCTATGTACTAAGATTTAAGGCATAGGATCAGCATTATAGACTTATATATAAATTGCAGTTCTCACTCATTGCTTTTAGTTAGACTAGATATAATAGGATAATATATTACAAGGAAAACTATGTGTGTTGAATGTAACGGACATATTTACATCATAAATCATTCAGTTTGGTTGTTCATAGTTAAAAGTAATAAAGAACAATACTAAATTATAATTTTACAGCAAATTAACTCCGCTGCATGATGAAAAACAGTTAAAGAAGAAATACTAAATTTTATGTATAACATAAAATTATTACCATGAAAATCTGGTACTTAAAAATATGCTCACCAAATACACAGAGCAGAATAAACCTTAATATTACATTTCAACACACAAATTTCATTCAATAGCAACCCGCGCAATGAATAAAGATTATCTACAGAAATCCAATATAGTACAGTGGTAACAATCAACATAACTAATAAACTTTTGATTCTAAAAGTATCACAAAATCAACAAGAAATATAATCCCGCTCACTGGTTGTGCCGCACACATAGATTCAGCCGACGACATGTATATCACAATGTAAACAAGAAAGCGTAGAAATTACCCTAAAAGTAACAGTCAAAGCACCATTTGATGTAGATGAGGTGTCCTTTTGTCTGTGGAAGAAAATACTTTTAACACTTGAGAGACAAACACTGTAGCTTACGAGTTATTTACATCCTAAAAGGTAATATTGGAGGTTATCAGTATTTGGACACCATTGCTCCATTTAACGATAAATTTTTCATAAAAAATAAAAGAATTATACATTGCCTTTGAGTTATTTTACATAGTTCCATGTTTATGGTTACAATTATGTTGAAAACAATAATTTACTATTTGAAACAATCAACCACAAAAGAACTTTTTTATTTCATGATAGTAGCCTAATCAGTTGTACACATATTCATATCTATTTTGGTTTTATTAAGATTATGAGTTATTTTAGAGTAAATAAGTAATGGTTTTGGCCTCTTTCTATGATTTCTCACAGAATTAGAGGTGTTTAATTCTGGTTACCAACCAAATCAAAACGTTCATGATACTAACATTTTGGAAAGTTAGTGTCGAATCTCCACCAAGTGATATTTTTTTAACACAGTTAAAAGATTAAAGAAACTGACAGTTATATAAAATATTTTTCTTAGTTTAGTACCACTCAATTGATATGATAATTAAAGGTAATTAATATTCACAATAAATAGTAATATTAATACCTTTTACTTTTGAAATTGAGTATTTAAGATACTATTTACAACAGGCAACTACAAATGGTTTCAATATTGTTTGCATTATTTTACTTTTCAATCTTACACTTTTTACCTTTGAATTTTACAAGTGTGACAAACTATAAAGCTTACCTTATCAATTGGTTTGTTTACCTTCTAAGCTTGTGCACAGTTGTATGACTACACTACCTTATGAACACCTTACCAACATTGATAAGAAATTTATTTTGAATGATCAAAAATCGTCAATGAGTTTGGCTATTTATATTTACATTCTCCATCAGCATGCGATTATAGCATTTAACATTGGAAACTTGGTTTAAAACTTACTTTTGTTGTCTTAGATACTTGTCATTCTTTGCCATAATTTTGGATCTGCTTTCAGTGTTTTCTTTGTGTGAAAATGTAGAATGAAGAACAATCCAACCCAACTAACTCATATCAAAACAGAAAAATGATGCAGCTTTATAACCAAAATAAAACATTTGAGGGTTCAAAAACAGTTATAGAAGAACCTCCTGACAATAGAAAAGCTATGGAAGCAGTGTGTGGCCGTGTTAAGAGTCTTAAACACTAAAAAATGTACATGGAAGCATTTTTGGGGTGAGAACTGCGTATAAAATGTCTTTTAGGCTACTAAGTTGAATCCCAAGCTTATTTTTGTACGTATTCACTACAAAAGTGCACAACTAGAATCATATAATTTAGTTAAACATACACTACTGATCCATTAGTGTTAAATTCAATCTGAGGATTAAAGTAGCAATATCTTGCATCATGGTCCCATTGGATAAAAGACGACAGCTGTGTTTTAGAACTTCTATTTCGGCGAGTTTCACACAATTCCTTTAGGTTTAAACAATTCTTTCCTGACTCCTTATCAAATCAGCTACAACAAAGAGAGGAGATTAACAGATTGAAAACAGCTCATTCTCGGGTTTACGATTCAACTAGTCTAGACTCAATACTGCTACCTTATCCTGGGATACCTACAGTATATAAGCGATACACGACTACCTTCTACTCAAACAATGAAAAGGAGCAAGCAAGTGAAGACTCACAAAGACTTATCGCTAAATTGTGCAGATATGTAAACATTGCTCCCACCCCGCTGATTATGGTTGACTTGTTTGGAAACTGTTTTACCTTTCACAGTTCCTCATTTTGATAATTTGTATGGCTAAACGATTCAAAACTGAACTACAAACATCAAAGAATTGCGGCTCTGATGTTAGAATTATGATCTTTGTGCCATTCTATCACATACACTGGCACTGGCAAGTGTGAATCTGAAACTATGCATGATTATTGATTGGTTGAAGTATGAGTTACAACTGTTTACTGTAAGACCAAAAATGTCAAAGAGTAAAAATTATAAAAACGAAAGCTTAGATGTTTAGTTGGTTAATTAATCACATTGATTACTCTCAGGGTTTGAAGCTCGTGTGCATTTACTCAAATATCCATTATTAATAAATCAGATTTTTTTTAAGAATTGAACAAAAAATATGAGAATTCAAACAATTAAAAATTAGACAAGATACTTCACTTGTTGTTTATGCTTAATGTGGAGATGGATCTCTTTTGCAAAAACTCATCCAATGGAACTACCCTTGGCATAGGAGTGAGCTTACAGCTCGGGATCGCTTGGTCATAGAGTTTTAGACAACAAATTAACATTGGTGTTTGGTAGGATTTTCACCTTAAGACTTCAGCAAAGAGGCCCAAATCTCTAACCAATAAATTGGCTATTCACAAAAACTGTTTAAGTATTTAAAATTTTGTACAATAGTAAATCCTACAATTTATTTTATATAAAATGTCACACATTTTAAACTCACAGGTAAATAAAGTAAAGTTTGTCCTTTTGTTTGGGTTGTACACAACTCTATCCCTTTTTGGTGATTTTAATGAATCTTCAAGGTACAGAAAGAAATATTTTCTGAATATTTTTAAATCAGTGGCACATTAAGAATTATGTAAATAAAAAAAATTAAATGGAAAATAATTAGCCTATTGTTTGTTTTGGAAGGGTTGAAAAAATAAACCAAACAATTTAGGATCTTCTATTCAAAAGGTACTTTAAAGCGTAAAACAGTTTCCAAAGAGTATGCAAACCGTTAAATACATGTGTGCTAAAATTATACTAAATGTTGACAAAATTATTATCTTTATTATTATCAATATTATTAAATAAAGACTATTTACAACAGTATAGAATATTCTGCACAGCAGACATAGAATAGGCACCAAAGTTGCTCTGAGACTTCAAGACCTGACGGGGAAGAGAGTGCAGGAAATTTCAGGGTAAAACATTCTTCCAAAAACACCCACGGCAAACTTCGGGAAGTGCATCTTAATACTATTCCAATCTAAAACACATCTCCTAAAAAAATATTCAAACTAGTTTAGAGGTTATTAATACATGACATATTGTGGAACACTCCTTTACTACAGCAGTTATAAGCCAATTGTCTGGGTAGCCTAGTGGTTATAGCGCTCACCTTCAAACATGAAAATGCTGGCCATTTGTCATAGAAAATCAAATCAATTAATTATACTATCTAATAAAAGATAAGATTGATGTAGATAGTAACAAGACCAGGATTTTAAACGTTCCCTGACAAGAAATACCAAAGACATAAAAGCACACAAACATGATTTTTTTGCACTGGTTCATACATAACAGCATCGTTCAATTTTAGGTAAGTAGAAGTATTATGTGCAGAATATATAAACATTGTGTCAATTCAGATTAAGATGGTAGAGAACTGTAGCTGCCTACTACAACATTAGTTCCTATTACAGTAAAATTATCAAAACACCGGCGCTAGCAAAATTTATGCATCAAATTGCTTGCAACTTCTGTACATTTGACAAGGTGAATAATTTCTCTAGCAATAAAACAACCTATATTATATATTTGAGTTAAATATTTGACTGCAACGTTGTTGTTGGACATCAAAAGCAATTCAATAACAAATGTTGTTATTTCAAAAAACAAGAAGACCGTAACAATTACACCTACTAAAACAATTTGATCCGGGAACAATTTAGAAACTTGAGTAGTTTGTATTCCTTAGTTTTGTTGGATGTCTTAGGTTACCAGACCAAAATTTGTATTGCTTACTGTGCATTTTATGAAATTTTCAATTGATATTTTCTACAACAACCTCTAAACTGCAACTCAGGACTCGTCTAACGGGAACTACGGGAAAGTTGACTGCACTGCTCTTCCCAGGCAGCTCTTTGAGATTCTCAAACTCTCTCAAGATATTATGAATACAATACAATAATTACAAAGCATGGTGAAATATTTTTGGACCCTAAGGAAATATCAAAATGCACTACGGTACAATATTATGATATTACATGCTATAAGAAACGGTTAGAGAAATAAACGTCCGTGGCAACAAGAGTTTTGTTATGATGATTTATAAAACCTTTAGTAAACATTAGCGTCCTTTAGTAAAACAGGTTGTGAAATCGGATTACGTTGTAATATCACTTAGTTTTAGTTTAAACTTATCCTTTAAACCCTTTGACTATTGATACTAGTCTTCAGTATCCAATAGTCAATAATAATACCAAAGGATTGTGATAAGTGTACTACATTAAAGTTACTTAAAAGAATATGTCTGCTTCTTGGCTTGGTTAAGTTTAAAAGTATTAACTTACAAATATTTTACAAATCATAAAGTATAATTTTTTTATGATAAATATTAAATATTTATCGAATATATGTTTTAAAAACTTTTAAAAATGTGTTCTTTTTACGTAATTCTTTAAAAGATAATAAGATATTTTTGGAACAATTTTGATAACAACTCTTGCTACCACTTTTCAATACAATAGTGATTATGAAACTATATCCTTTATTGGCTTTGCAATATATAAATAGTGATTTATGATATTTCTCACAAGACTAAGAATTTTCCTAGTTACTAATGGAATGTTCATCTTCAGAGAAAATAGATGTGAAACACAGAGAAAAACTGAACTTTATACATACCATATACTTGTTGTAATGAAATACATGCTAATTAATTCTCAAAGTTGTAAAATGTAATTCCATGTTTAATAAATGTTTTCTACTCAGTAGAGAATGCTAAATCGTCACATGACATTAGGTATTTGATATACAATTTGTATTTTCCACACTTTTATTTTATCATATATCTACATAACTATCGAAAGTATCAATACCAAAACCCAGCATCCCAACATTGTTAATCTTTGAGTTTCACCAAACAATATCAATGGCACAAACAGTCCAAAACAACAACTAACCAACATGCCTGCCAAAATTCACTTTTGTTTGAACAAATTTACTTCAAAATATGCCACGATTCGGTCTAAACCAAAAATAACCTTGAAATATACAAAGTATCAACAGATACCAATCAATTCCGTTTTGTGCATTTGCAGATTTTTAATAAACATCGATAACCAAATTGGTGTCGCTATGTATCTGTAATAACTTCATAACATTTATAGTTCCACATCTAAAACAAATCTCCAAGAACCTAAAACAGAGTAAAAGACCACATATTAATGTATTCAAATGCAATATAATTGAGTAAAAATATTTATAAATTCTTTAAGCGAAAACGTTTAATGTGCAAACATTGTAAAACTGTGATCATTTGCTCAAGAATTTGGATTGCTTATTGTGATACTTAGGTACTTTTTTGTAGGTTACTTATAATGTGCAATGTGCTATAATCAAGTTAAATAAATGTAATGTGCAATGCTTAAATATAGCCTCTTTGATCTAAAAGAGTTTTGTTTGAACTAATTATTGAATTCAATTGACTCTTTTATAAATGTTAGAATAGTAGGCTGCTAGTAGTAATTTGAACAAATAAATATTTTGATTAGAAAAAATATTCAACTTGCAATTCACCTAATTGTTGTAAGAAATAATTTTACCATGCCCTTAAATCAGTGTCAACTACAGTGCCAATGCTAATCTAAGAATAATAATTCCCTATGACCCATAGTTTAGTTTAATTTTAGAAACATTTCACTGAATCAATGAATGGACAACCAAACGCGTAGAAAGATTTTTCCGTAGTTTATTTTTTTAATCATAATTGATTTTACTACAATTTTATTGAGACAGAAAAATATGTTATAGCATTTTGACGGTTTGTTGGTTGGAAGTTCAATAAACAATAAAGTTAAATAAATAAGATTAAGAAACTTGTCAAAATTAGTTTCAAATCCGTATAGGTGGAAGAAGTTTAAAAGAGCAAAATCTACCAACATCAATTATCTTACAATTAATTGCTTTTTAGAGTGAAATATTTACAAATAACTTGACATTTTAGATGACTTTTCATGGCATTAAGCATAAACAAATTTTGTTCTCTCAGTGATGCAAGAAGCAGTATGTTGGCTAATCAGTGTTTTATGTGCAACAAACGTGAGTCACAATGTTGGGTGCATCGAGTGGGTTGATAGCTCAGAGTTGGTTCAGACCTGTTCTTCCATCGCAGGCGTGGACAATCTATGGTGCGTCTGTGCATTGGCTATATACATTAGTTGATCCAGCTTCTTGTCCATGATTGACAGCTAGAAACGTAACATGACTGATAAAATACAAAACAAGAGCTGAAATAGGTTAAGATACAAGGGCTGTCCTTAAATAAAGATTACCATCAAGGTCTGGTTGCTACCAAACGACACCCTTCTCTGGCCATTAGTCTCATCTTCGTACACTAACCAAAAATAAGTAGGCCTACGTGAGAAAAATTGTACACTCCCGCCAAGTCAGAGAGCCTTTTGTGATTAGGATTCTGTGGAAACAGGTGAATCCTAACAGAAATTTGTTAGAAGTTGACATACAAATACAAAGCAAAGTGTAAAATGGTAGAAAATGTGCATAGGTGACTTAGGCAGTTTGCACATGGCCGTTGGCCGTACAAATTTTGTAAGATTACGGCAGCAGGTATTTTCTTTCCTATGACAGAGGCATTTTAACTAAAGTCAACGTGATATTTAACGCTTTTAAGGGAAAGCGGTTAAAGTTTTGTGGATGTGCTGGGAATTAAACCCATCCGTCCCGCACCAAAGACTGGGATGCTAACCACTAGGCTAGTAACTAGTGATGTGTCAAAACTCAAAACCAAATCTAAAAACCACCAAAACTTTGGAAAAATTTTGGTTTTGAGATTTGATCGGCGAGTTTTGAGATTCAAAACTTTTGAAATTGAGGATTTTAGCAGTTTGATTGCAAAACTGCTAATATGTTTTTGAGTTCTATCACTATTTATATAAAAGTTTACACACAAGCCGAAGCTAACAGATCACCACTAACACTGATGAAACAAGTTATCATATTCTAAACTGCAATAGAAACATTCTTTGTCTTCTTACAGTATAAAATATTTTGTAATATTCAAATGCTTTTCACTATGAATGTTAGAAAAAAATGTAAATGAATGGGAAAGTTAAGTATCAAGTTTTTGCGTGCACTAAAACAATGAGAAGGCTCTAGTTTTCGACCTTGGCGAACTCATCATTGGCCGCTGCCAACATGTCATGTCCTCACAGCCTATGTCGAACTATAGGGAGTGTCAAGCTATCTAGGTTCTACCATTGTTTTCAATCTCCCTATCAGTTCAGCAATCCTACTGAGCAAAACTTACTGCACTTTCTCTTCTCCTTATGTACATTTTCACATTTTATCACACTTTAGTTTGTTTAAGTCCGTCAACTGGCAGTGGACTTCAATAGCAGTTCGCATCTTAGACCACAGAGACCTATTCAACAGATATATATTTGGCAGGAGCATATTCCCCAAGATTGTATCTGCTACTATGACTAGACTAATTGTTGCCTAGAGGGTGGGAACAGGTAAGAATAGTAGTGGATGAAGCAAAGAACACGGCGCTTGCTTGGCCGGGATGAGAGCTCAATGGAAACCTTAATTTACGTTACGGATATTCAATAATCATTACAACTAATACTCGAAACCTAAGGGATTTACTACTCAAATTGATGATTCCAGCGAATAAAGCACAAAATTAGTATTGTGTAGTTTTATAGGGAAAAAAAGGGAAGTAAAAAGTTGAATGCTATTCAAATATTAAATTGTATCATGAATAAAAGGAATATTTGTATAGGCCTACTTCATAATTTTTCCCATATAGGAGTGTAAGTGCAAGTTAATTGATTGAAAAAAAAAATTAAGTACAATAAGCTCTTTTAAATAAAATTGGTAACATTTCTCAGTCTCCATCACAAGTCAATTCAATAACGGTGTTATCTATATAAATAAAATTAGAGTTTTGTCTGTACATTGCTTAGAATAATGAACTTTTTGGTTATTTTTACATTTCATAGGTCAGAGAAACCGAATCAAACCTTATCTCAATTTCTGTCTGTCTGTCTGTCTGTCTGTCTGTCTGTCTATCTGTCATTCTCTTGGTAACGCTAAAATACGCACTTTATTACAACTACTCCTCAATAACTATAGCACTGTCCCGCCTGAAACTTATTTTCCAAATACTATACATATATGAGATGGTTTTAGACGTATTTCATCGAATATGAGACAGTTAGATATTTAACAGTAAACCCTTGAAAATCAAGTTTTTGTCGATTTTTGACGTGGAATTTCTGGAAGCCCATGTTAACCTTATGAGAAATGAAATTATTGAATCTTAACAGCTGTTTCAATTAAACAAGTTGGTTCTGTTCTGTGATGTTCAATAGCATTAAAGTTACAAGGATTACCAACAGGGTGCAGCACTAGCACTATTATTTCTTTTACATTTATGACAACAGCTAATTTGCAACCTGGAGGCGAGTGAGCGTAGCGAACGAGCTAACCTGAAGGCAAGTGAGCGTAGCGAACGAGCTAACCTGAAGGAAAGTGAGCGCAGCGAACGAGCTCCAACATACAGGTGAGTGAGCGTAGCGAACGAACTTCAACCAGGACGTGATTGAGCCATGCAAACGAGATCAGATAGTAAAAATAAAAGTAAGCCTACCGTTATAGGATCGACCGGCAGACACAGAGGTAATTTAACCTTTTATTGATTGTCATACCGATCCGGAACAACAAAAAACAACATAAAATGAAGCTATGTATAATAGTTTGGCCAGCATATCTTAAAATATGCAAACCAACTGCTGTTCGTTATATAAGAAGGTTTCAACTGAATATTATAAGATCCCCGTGCGTAGAACGGGTACACAGCTAGTATTCAATAAAGGAATATATACTGTGGTTATCTCAAGTACTCTTTCTAGTGTAAAACTGTTCTCTATTTTGATGTGAATGTAATATCTGATAATTGGTAGCATTTGGATTGAGTTTGTTAAAAAGATATTTGACAGTACAAAAATAACAGTTTCTTGTACAGTCAAAAATTCTTGTACTACACTACTATTCTCTTCGGTTAAAATAGCCAAAAGACAAGCAACATAGGCTATAACAAATTTATTTTTATATCTGGGTTTATTTTTTTCAGCAATTTTGTACAGAAAGTAGTATTTTCAATGCCATCTCATTTCAAAGACAACAATATTTTCCTAAGCTCTAATTTAAAGCAAGGGGAAAACGGTCAATTGGTTTTCCCTCGCTCTAAATTTACTTTCCCTTGCTCTCAATCATTTTCTCCGCTTGTCCACTAAGTGCACTAGTGCACATGCACTTTAGCGTACATTTTTAAGATTTAAATCAGCTATTTTTACTTTTTTAAGTCTTTAAAATAATAAATGTTAACAGAAATATGCATTTGCGTTGTAATTAAAAAGTATTGTTTATTCACAACTTGAACAGAAAATCATTTCCCGGTAATTATCCCCATCCTCGGCTTCGCCATGTACTTGAAAGCCATATGCTCGGCTTCGCCTGCTAAAGTTTGGTGATCCTGTGTGAGTCGAAGCATCAAACATAAGGCATGCACCGGGAAATGTAACTTTTGGTACTTGGGAACATTTAAATAAATTTTAGATAGTCATCACATTATTTTCCCCTGCCCACAACAAGTTTGTTGTGGCAATTTGACTGAGTTTTGTGTTCTAATCTTTACAGGTACTCTCTCAACTAAAGACGGGATCAGATTCTAACTTTGATTGATGAATATTTGAGATTTTAATTCTGATTTTGATTTGATTTGATTCCTGGTTCTAAAATGTCATGAAAAGAATGTTTTACCTATCTTGATGGGATTGGTTTACTATAATCTCTTAGATAACATTATTGACAAACTAAAGAAATGCAATTTGCCACCAAAACTTACACTAAAAATGAACTTCAAACCAAGAATGATCAATAATGATGACAACAAATCTACAAAGGAGTGTATTATAAGAAGGAGTGAAGGGGTGTATTTTAAGAAGGAGTATATTACAGACCTGCTGCTCTACCCTGTAGAGTCGTGCCCCTATCGTCATAGGTTTGACGTTGCCAGATCTATCAATGCCAGCCAGATAGCTGCCAGGTTTCCCCAGGGTCTGGTCTAACCTTCTCTGCAGCTCCTTTACAAAAGTTGGCAATTAGTACGGGGTAGCAGAATTTTATCCGCCTGGAATAATTACCCTCTGAGCAAAACTGATGTCACAATCTAGGGGGTAAAATTCCGGCCGCACCACGACATCAGTTCAATAAATTAAAGGTGGAATTAAACGTTTATTTTCACGGTTGTGAATTTAATCAGAAAGAATCAAACGATAAAACATGGAGTGTACAGGCTGGAATTTTACCCCTTGATTTTTACTCCCTTCATGAGGTCAGCTCAAAATGTACGGCCTGGATTTTTACTCCCGGAATTTTACCCACTGGCCAGATATACAAGTTAGTGAGAGTAATTAATTTTCTTCTTTCAGTTTTTATTTAATAGTAAACATTTGATTATTAAGTAGCCTATCTTGATTTATTTATTTTAACCTCCCCTTATGAAACAGGTTTTGCGTTTTAATTTTGAGATTTGAGTGTTAGGATTCTATTTTTGGGGCCAACTGTTGGTGAATGTTTTTAAATAAACTGAGTAGCTCATATTATGCTTTAGAGAAAGTCCAGAAAAAGTTTTTAAGATTCTTATTTTACATGCTTTTTAATATTTATACGTACGAAATTCCATATCATGATTTGTTACAACTGTTTGGGCTGCAGAGTCTAGACCTGAGGAGAACGATCATACGTCAGGTGTTCTTGTACAAACTGGCGCGTGGAGAGGTTGACGACGCTGCTAGCTAGCTGGGCCTGTCTTATAGCGTACCCTGCTTTAATAGTAGAAACAAACGTCTCTTCTCGTTGCCCTACAGCCGCACCACTGCCCATGCCTCCTCCCCCTCTATCGATTAATGAAAGACTACGATTTCATAATAAAAAAATGCAATAGTATTGATTAGGGATGGACGAGATTGGATTTTTAGTTCGAGACGAGACGAGACGAGATTTTGTATTTCTCATAAAATTTCGAGACGAGATCGAGACGGGATTTCCCTTCTCATACACAACGGAAAATGCACGTTCAAAATTTTTACCTGATTTTGTAACATTGTTAGATGACTGTTTAAATACAAAAATAATGATAATAGGCAAGAATATTTACAATCTTTTATTAAAAAACATCAGCATAACATTTTTTTATTAATCACACCTAACTTATTAAAAATGCCTACGATTAGGAAACATAGTGATATCAGTTAGGATAGAGTTCAACTTATCCTAAAATAAAATAAATCATAAAATAAAAGCAATATTAATTTTTATAAAATAGTTACTTGTTTTGACATTTTATAGTAATAAAACATTCCTCACACTGCTTACACTTAACAAAACTTCTCAAATGTTATTAAAATAATTAAAGTAATATTTACATTAAAAGAATTAATTAAATAAGAACGCCTTCGCAAAGGAAACACAACTACAACACGCTCCTGTATTGCGGGTATTGCATTGACTTTCTGCAGGCGTTTTTATTTTTTTTATTTTTTTTTTTTTTTATTCTCGACTCGATAAAAATCTCGGCCAAAAAGAAATCTCGTCTCGTGTAACGAGATTTAAAATTTCCCGAAAATTTTCCGAAATTTCGAGACTTGACCATCCCTAGTATTGATATTTTCTCTGACAACATATACAATTTCAAATTAAAATTAAAAACAGTATTAATCAATCAGTAAATGTTAATCTATTTCTTTTTTCGTTGTTGTATTTATTTTTACAACTCAGTATTTATTTATATATTTTTTATTTTTATAATTTATCATTGTTAATTTTTTTTTATTTATACATTGTTGTTATTGTTATAGATATTTGTTTATGTTAGTATTACATGCATAACATGAAAGTGTAAGCAAAAGTGAAGTGAAAAGACAAGAAGAAACCCACTGAAGCAATAATATTATAAGGGCAATGTAAATGGTGTAAACTGTATTGAAGCAAGTAAATAATATAAAATAAAATATTAATGATAATTGTTTAGAATATTTCTTTAACAATTTTTTATATTCAAAATAAAATTAAAAAGCGGAACCTGTTTATTAAGTTGAGGTTACAAATAAATTAAGATATGCAGGTATGCTGCAGTGGGGGTATTTATAATCATTTGATTCCTTTGATATTGATGCTAGTTCTGATAACAGAGACATGTGACTGAATGGGTTCCTGTTTTTAAAACAATTTTTGCACCATATTTTTTGTGGCTTTAATTTTTTCTCACCTTTCAAACAACAAAACCATTGCAAATAGCCACAACAGCGTTAGCATCCATTTTAAACACAACTGGACTGTCACAGCGCGAGAGAAGCAAGATTACTAGGCGGTAGCGGCAAGCATGTTTGTGAACAGGCTCGATCATCTGTCGGAAACGCCGAGCATGCTCCCGAGCGTGTTCGCCAACAGGCTCGCAAACATGCTCAACCGTGTATGGGGGGCTTTACACAGGACAATTTAAGTTTGAAGGCATGAAATGAAATTCCCATATGTTTTAACTTTAATAAAAAAAAATAAAAAAAAACAGACTAATTAAACTTTATGTTTTCAAATCTAGTAAGAACTACATGCTTTTAACCATAATATCGTCTACAAATAGAGTCGTTAAATTCAAATATTGTACTTTTTCAAACTGCTCCAAAAAAGCTTCTGGCCAGGCTACAGGTGGTTTACACACAATCTGTAACGTCTTTTCTACTGCTTAAGCTGTTTAGCCAAGGAAGTGCTGTATCATGACTCATGATTACGACTCTTTTATGCATTTTCCTAAGTGCTAGCTGGATCAAGAGCCATTTTGAAGTGTGTCACTAAAAAGAGTGTAAAACATAAATACTTGTCTGCTTTAAATATTTTTAACAATAATAAAGAGAAAGAGTTTCTCTATATTTTAAAATATTTGAGGAGTTAACTTTTTAAAGCCAGGGTAGGTGTGCTCCTGTTACTAAGCCCTGCCTTGCAGGTTACATCTTGTATTGGCCTATTTGACTCTCTGTTGCGTATGCCATTGAAAGTAAAGTTAAATTATATATCTCCATTCCTGGAGTAAGGAGAGTCAATACCTAATTTCGTCTTCTTTGATTTCAAATGACAAGGTCCCCAACAAGATGTTGAAACAAATTGCTGACCAAAGATAAATTGATTGGTCACTCTAAAACAGCCACCTGAATGTTTAATTTGTTTCTACTTATGATGAGACTGACAGCCAAAGCAAACCTATTAACTGAAATTGAACAGCTGTCACTCAATTCTACCATAGATAAAACATACTCCATTAGTAGATTTCCCATCCTTATGGAACAGCTGAAGCCAATTTTACTGTTAGTTCTGCCCAGTGTACTGTAGAGTCGTGTTTTGTTTACAATTCGTTTCTTGCTATTTTAGTAATTTAAAACCTCGTTTAACCAAATAAAACTATCTAATCATAAACAATAACTTGTCCACTAGCTATATAACCAAACAACGAGGCACAAATCATGAGAAACTAACCCTAAAATAATAGAAACAAATTGTAAACAAAACACAACTCTACAGTACACCGAGCAGAACTAACAGTAAAATTGGCTTCAGCTGTTCCATAAGGTTGGGAAATCTACTCAGGGAGTATGTTTTATCTATGATACTACTAATATTTCATATTTCAAACCTAAATTCTTACCTTTATCCTGACCATCATGTTTAAATGGCCTTGACTATACTGTTCAATCACATCACGGACATCGTAAGGTTTTCTAGCTTGCTGAAATTTTCGCCTCGCAACAAAATACTTTATTTTACGTATTGCTCTGATGGCATTCTTGTGCACTTCTGTTAACCTGTAATGTGAAAAACAAATTTAGTATTTTTAATCTCATTTCTTCAAAGCTATCAATACCTATCAATCCAGATAAATTGTAGCTGTATTGCATGAAAGAACAATTTGATAAACAGCACAAATAACATACATTAATACATGAAACAGACACAATGCACAATATACTAGGAAAGAGAGCAACTAATTGCGCGAAATAAATATAGAAAAAGAATCAATATTAAAAAAAGAAATGTTACAAAAAAAAACGGATATTTAAGAACCTAGACAGTTTTCCAAAAAGAAGAGTTCTCCAAAAAAAAGGTACCAGACTCCTAGTGCTATGAGGCTTAAACTATTCTAGACTAAACTATACTAAATCTAGTTAGACTGTATCTAGATCATGTAGGCCCAAGCAAAAACCTACAAAAGATGACCACACCATCTGCCTAACTAACCTCACATTATGATTTATTTTGACTAAAAGAGGTACAATTCAAGAACAAAATTATTACGAATCCATTGTTTTACTCTGAGTGTAATATACCACCTCTAATCTTAACACCAATGTCACGGAGACCCTAGGATATGCTCACGGGTGTTGCCACGGTTGTGAGAGACGATTATCGATGTCGCCAAGACCGCAAGTTGTGCTCTTCCCGATATGCAAAAAAATCCTGGTCCTGTCATGGCCAGATATGAGGGGTTCGACTGTAGTTAAATTCAGCATGAAACAAATGGAAGAAAATCTGTTCCCTTATCAAAACAGCTACCAGTCAATAGGGGTGTGCCGCAGGGTTCTGTCCTGGGCCAATTAAATTCATCCTTTTCACAAATGATTCCTCCAGATTCATTGGAAACAACAAAATCAAAAATATTACTGTATATGTAAATGGCACATTAAAAAAGCACGTCTAACAAAAACTTAAATCCTGATGGCTAAGAAGAAGGTTGGCAGGGTACTTTCTGGCCTTGGCCTTACAGAGATTTGTAGAATAGGCCTAGCCTTCAAACACTTCAAGATTTTAACAATACCATCACTCTACATTCATGAACATGTAATGTAGACAAGCCAGCTAAATCTTGCTTTGAATCAGAATTTCCAAAACCACTATATGAGAGGAGCTAGAAACTATAGAATTTTCCTCCACCACACCACAAAATTCAGTAAGAAAGTACAGTAGACTCTGGCAGATATGGCACCGAGATACTGTCGGATTACTACAATGTCATCAATTAAAACACTCAAAATAGACAAAACACGTCTGTTAAGATTGCGAGATCGGAAACCGCTATTGATAATCGCGCTTGAAGACAATGACGTTTCCATAACTGCGGGATACGATGATAATGTCTACACGGCTGCAGATGATCAGAATTTTGCCGTAATCACAGAACACAACAATAATGTCTACACGACCGCGAAAGTTGATCATGATTTTGCTGCGATCCTGCTAGACGTCGATGATTTTTCTGTCACCGCGGGATACGATGATAATGTCATAATTGCCACTCTCCAACTACCATCAGAAAAAATCACAAAGTCAATTAAGGAGAAAAGAAGAACTCTCAACAAAAACACCATAAATCTATTTAAAACCAGGCTCCATGAACAACCCTGGGATTGTGTCTACCACATAGAAGATGTCGATGAATCTTATAACAACTTTCACAGGGCTATCCAAGGAATACTAAATGAGACCTGCCCAGTAAAAATGACAAGGAGAAAACAACACAAAAAAAAACTGCTGGGATGCTGAATGCTCTAGACTAAAAAATCTATATATAAATGCCCTGGAAAAAGAAAACCGCACAGGTCTACCTGAAGACAAAGCAGAAACCGCAGCAAGAAAAAGGGACTATGACCTAAGACTAAAGACTTTGAGGAAAACTCAAACATCCGACTATATAAGCAATGCCGACAACAAGTCCAAGGCACTCTGGCAGGTTATAAATAATGAGAGAAAATCAAGTACCAGTATAGCAAATGAGTGGGAACTCCTAGTAGATGGGGAGACATTACAGGACCCAATCAAAATAGCAAACCACCTCAACAGTTTTTTTGCTACAGCCGCGGAAAGGACACTTCAGGCAAACAACACCAACACACACACCAGAACCCCTGAAATTCCTCCTTTAACAGCTAACAAACTAAAATTTCTGCTTGCAACACATAACGAAGTACTAAAAGTAATAGACTCACTTAAACCAAAAACTTCATCTGGCACTGATGAAATATCAGCCAAACTGGTCAAAACGTGCAAAAATGAACTGATTAACCCACTAACAGCACTCATAAATAAGTCTCTCAAACAAGGGGTCTTCCCAACACAGCTCAAAACTGCCAAGGTATACCCTAAATATAAAAGTGGACCAAACACAGATGCTAAAAGTTACAGACCAATTTCACTTATACCGACCTTCTCTAAAATCTTTGAAAAAATCGTCCTTAACAGACTAATATCCCATCTAGACCAAAACCTGCTGCTCACCAGCCAGCAACATGGCTTCCTTAAAGGAAGATCCACTTCCACTGCCTTAATACAGCTCACCGAGCACATAATAGAACAACTAGAAGACGGCTCCTCAGTCACAAGTCTGTTTCTGGACTTTAGCAAGGCCTTTGACTGCCTTAACCACAGGACACTTCTTAGAAAATTGGGAGCTCTGGGTATTGAGGGAAAGTCTAAACAGTGGTTCCACAGCTATCTTAATGGCAGACAGCAACTAGTTGAGATTCAGCATGTAGAAAAAAACACTCGCCATAAAATACATGCCATGCCATCTCCACAAACCAAACAAGAAACAGAGACATTCACCATCACAATACACGGAACGCCTCAAGCTTTGCAATACCACCTCACCATCTAAGTCTCTTTGAAAAGAAGCCATCCTACAAAGGGGCCCTGTATTTCAACAACCTACCAGAACAACTTAGAAATGAACCAACTCACCGTTTCAAGAACCAATTAACAACATGGCTGCAAGAAAGGCCATTCTACTCAGAAAAAGAATTCCTTGACAACCAGCTTTAACAACATATTAAATCAACAAATTTTAATTATTATTCTGACGCATGTACTGTTCTCAACGAATATGTAAATAAAGATCATTGTCTATTGTCTATTGTCTACACGACCGCGAAAGTTGATCATGATTTTGCTGCGATCGTGCAAGACGTCGATGATGTTTCTGTCACCGCCGGATACGATGATAATGTCTACACGGCTGCAGATTATCAGAATTTTGCCGCAATCACAGAACACAACAAAAATGTCTACACGATAGCTTAAGTTGATCAGAATTTTGCTGCAATCGCGGAAGACCACATCGGTCAAAAGATGCCGGATTAATGGAGTGCTAGAATGGCGCAGTGTCGGATTATAGAGGGTCTACTGTACCATAAAATATTGGCTCCTAAATTATAAATCCACTCCAACAGCACATGTAAAACCTGTTTCACAAGAAAAATACTGAAAAAGAACCTTTGGTACTGGCTCGTAAATCAACCAGTCTACAAAATCAAGGAATATTTTGACCTAAGAAGTTAAGTAACCAAATAATTGTTGCCAAGCAAGAACAAATTTGTTTGTTAAATATTTTGAGGTTTATGCATTTCTTGAAATAATCTATAATATTAAAACGAAACAGTGTTTTTTTATTTCACGATTCTGAATCAACCACTCGACGGATTTTCATGATTTTTGTGTTGAAAGAAAGATAATTTTGAGAGCTAGGGAATGTCGAAGCCATAATTTTAGTTTAGGGTCCCAGTTTTTTATAAATTAAGTTTTAATTTTTAAAAAGTCTAGCAGCCGACGCTAGCAATTTAAAGTATTTTCAGTGCTGGTTAAACTAACAGCTGATTATAAATTGTCATTGAAATGTTTATGTTACAAGTTGTTTGTATACAAAAATATTGTTCTTCGGTGTTGGCCTGCATACTATTTCACTTTAAAATTTAGTTTTTTTTCTACAGTGAATGATATGCTTTATCAGGAAATGTGTTATTTTGATCTATACATCTCAAACAGTTTAATCAAGTTTTGTCGTAAATGCAAACTGTGTAAGTAAGTTATTTAGTTTATGCCATGGAAATTTCATCTGATATTTGGGAAATCTTTTTTCAGAAATTTATTGCTTAATCGTTTAAGATATAAGTGGTTTACGTGTTGATACTTCTTTTTCTGTATGTCCGAATGTATATATGTGTATATATGTATATATGTATATATGTCTGTATGTATGTATGTCCGAGAATGGGTGGCCAGAATCCTCATAAGGTGTCAGTCTGTGGTCACGGAGGTAAAGGTGCGGTAAGTACATATATAAGTTGTATATGCAATTGTTGCAACTCTACTCAATACCAGTGTGTGTGAATCGGTCTCCAATCTCGCTTCAAGTTTTTTCGAATCGAAGTAACTGCTATTTTATGGTAAAATTATCGAATTTAAAATGCATATTGCTATATTTTAGGTCTATAATCGGATGGAAGAAAGACGAGGTAGTCACGTGACATTTGTTAATAAGGTCAACAACTAAAAAATAACAATTAATTGTTAATTAGGTTGTTTTGGGGGCAGTTGGCCCCCATTAAAACTGCCAGAATTTGTCACTGTGCGTGTAAACTAGATGTTCTGAACTATTCCGTTTTAATTGACTACTCGATTCCCGTACGTAGGACGGGCCAACAGCTCGTAATTATAATTACAAATATATAAAATCCAATGTATGTTTGTTTGTCCTTTATGGACTCCAAAACCGCTCGACAGATTGTAATGAAACTTTCAGGCATTATTAAGCATTATTCAAGGATGGTTTGTGTGAAGTTTGGTGCAGACCCGTCAAAAGGGCTCCGCACCAGTGGCTCTGGAGTTTCCCATGTTAACCTTATGAGTACTCATATTTAAATGGAATTAAAGGATCTTAACAGCTGGTTCAACTAAACAATTTGATTCTGTGATGTTCAATAGCATTAAAAATGTAATAGGTTTACCAACAGGGTGCAGCACTATTATTTTTGTAAATTTATGACAATAGCTAAATTGCAACCAAAAAGTGAGTGAGTGAGCGTAGCGAACGAACCTCAACCTGGAGGCGAGTTAGTGTAGCGAACAAGCTAACCTGAAGGCAAATGAGCGCAGCGAACGAGCTCCAATCTAAAGGTGAGTAAGCGTAGCAAACGAACTTCAACCAGGACGTGATAATCCATGCGAACGAGCTCATCTTAAAAATGAACGAGCATTTGACATAAAACCACATTAGGACAGGACAACGTCTGTCGGGCCAGCTAGTTACAAATAAAGATGGTTGGCTATTGCCTATTGTCTACTAGTGTTGACCAGCTGTTTATTTTCCCTTTTTTTGCAATTAGGTATACAACCACCTTGTTGTTGATAACTTTGATGTACTCTACTTATTTTAATTATGCTTCACAACAGGATCAGAACTCTACCACTGATTCTCAACTGTAGAACCTTAGTCTCATATACCTTATCATGGGCCACAATATTAGATGTGAAGGAGAAACAGAAAATTCATTAATAATAATGTATATGACAGTCCGTAATTGGCATTAGATGAGTTATTTTGGTTATATTTTCTATATATATATTATATATAAATTTTTTTTGCAATACAAAATAAACAGAAAAGTTGTAACAAGACAAGTGACTCAAGGTCAAGACCTCAAGCAAGCAAGATGCTTAAAGATAGAGAGGTACGGTAAAGCATGATCACAAGAACCTCCATGAGATTATTGTCCAGAAACAAGATATAAGTTCATTTTTGCTACCAAAAAATTCTGTATCAAGCATAAACACATCATGTGGGTCAGGTGGAAGAGGGTAATTCTCTCATGGTCATGAGATTTTTTTATTTTGTTCATTGGTTTCAGCTAATACTAAACCATGATAAACTTGCCCCCCCCCCCTTTTATTTAGAGAAACATGATAGTTTATTAAGTTTAAATGCTTCAGTTTTAAATATTTTGTGGTAAGAAATTCTAGCTTTGTTTGAAAAAACTGCAACCATCATTGTAAGACTCGGCACTGGAGTGATATGCAATATCCCCTACATAGAGATAGAACAGCTGTCACATGAAGCTAATTAATTTAGCAGCTAAGTTATCATGTATTCATATCACATCACACAGTCTTTGTAAATTCTGTATGACGAATAAACAATTAATTGATATGGGGTGACTTATGGGGTGACTTACGAGGTGACTCTCTCAGGTTCAATCTCGATATCCATCTCGTCGCTGGCCACCTCAGTGATGCTGCTGGTTTGACTGGTGAACCCTCGACCTCCAGCAGTAGCGGTGCTGCCCTCCCTCCGAACTCGGTTGGGCGTCCCTGCAAACACCCATACATTCACACATTTAAACATCAGACTTACAGAGAAAATTCTTATTATGTTCAACAATAACTTTACCCAACGCTTCAATTTTAGAATTGAAGGGAATGGAGAGAAACTTACTGCGAGCTAGAATTGTTATTTTTATCCTCTACTAACACTCTCATTCAAAACCTTATGGGCAAATTTTTCTATTCAAAAAGTGGTAAAGCAATAAGAGTGTCAGTGATTATTTGAAATATTTTTTCTCGATAAAGCAAATACATTCTACAGAAAGTGCTCCTAAAATGCTGCCCTTCTGTGTTCCTCTCAAATTGAGCTCTAAATCTAACATTAAGTAAATTAACCTGGTAGTATTTGAGGAAATAAACAATTTTTAGGCTACTGAACCAAGAGATTAAAATTTCTGGACAAATTCTGATAATATAAAATACCAAAAACTAAAAAGCTATCTTGTAGGCCTATTATATACAAAATCCAGCACTTAACATTGCAAGGGGTATATTTTGTTATAACGGCAATAAAGCTCCAATTACACCTACTAGTGAAAAACAAATAACAACAGTTAAATTTACAACGACTAGTCCAAAAAAATTAACATTTATACCCTAGCCTAAAGTCCAATAGGTAGGCCTACTTTGAGTCTCAATGCAGTACACAATTCTCGGCTGAATTAAAATGTTCCTTGTGGTCCGAATCAGTCACTTACACAACTTGTTCCATTCAACCGATTTATGAATCACTTTACGAGGTTTGTGTATGAATATGAATTAAGGTATCCATAGAGCTCATGTCACGGACAAGTGAGCTAGTCCACGAATAATTGATAAGTGCATTCAAGTAGGGGTGTGCGGGTAGCATTTTTTAAACTCGGGTCGGGTTCGGGTCGGGTTTTTTTTTTTTTTTTTTTTTTTTTTTTTTTTTAACAGAGGACCAGGCTTACAAGTTACCATGGGATTGCATCGCAGCTAGAACAGCTCATTGTGCACCCTCGTTCACAGGTCCTCATTCTCCATCAAATCCCAGGTCCTTGGTGAACCATGAGAGCCTCTTGACTATGGTGACCTGTTCTTCCCTTTGATCTCCCATCAATAGGCCAAGGGATCTCATAGGCAGACCTTGTAGGGCTGGGCACCTAAATATACCTTCACAGCTTTCACAAGGTCTCTGGCTGGGGCAAGCCGTAGCGAGATTTCCCTGAAAGGACTCAGCTCCTGAACTTGCTTGACCAGCCAATCCTTTGTGGCTGCATCAGCACAGCCTCCACCTTTCTTCCTGGGGGCTTCATTAGAGTCAGCTTTGGGGGTACCACCCTTGCCCTGCTTTTTCCCAGCATCCTAGTTCCCGGAGGAACTGGCTTTGCAGGCAGCAGAGTTAGGGTGCTTGGCAGCCCACACCAGCCTCCTCTCACTTCTGGATAGCACCTTTTCGCCTTTGGCTAAAGCATCCGCTATCCTCCGTCTTTGCAACTCACCCCTGGAAAGTCGTTTTTCGTACGAGGGATCTCATACGCAGACCTTGTAGGGCTGGGCACATAGATATACCTTCACAGCTTTCACAAGGTCTCTGGCTGGGGCAAGCCGTAGCGAGATTTCCATGAAAGGTCTCAGCTCCTGAACTTGCTTGACCAGCCAATCCTTTGTGGCTGCGTCAGCACAGCCTCCACCTTTCTTCCTGGAGGCTTCATTAGAGTCAGCTTTGGGGGTACCACCCTTGCTCTGCTTTTTCCCAGCATCCTAGTTCCCGGAGGAACTGGCTTTGCAGGCAGCAGAGTTAGGGTGCTTGGCAGCCCACACCAACCTCCTCTCACTTCTGGATAGCATCTTTTCGCCTTTGGCTAAAGCATCCGCTATCCTCCATCTTTGCAAATCGCCCCTGGAAAGTCGTTTTTTGTTCCTTTCCGGTTTCTGCGAGCTTGTCGTCATCGTCAGATTTCAGTAGACCTTCCTCCTCCATTTGGGTCAGACTGTCTACATTGTTCTCACGAATACCGGGTATTTAAGTCCACCTCCCCAGTGACCCGATTAGAGAGGTAAGGGGTGTGTACGACTGGGTTACCCCTGGTTCCCAGAAGGCTCCGTTAAGACACTAAATATTAGGCCCCCAGTGCCACAAGACTCTTGGCACGGATCGCATTACACCTTAGTCTAGGGCCCCCCTCACTTGGTTCTGTAGGTGGACCAACACCCAGTGGCAGAAGGTAGCCCTCCGCAGCTAACAAGTGAGAGTTGGGGTTTAGGTTGTGGCCAATCTGTCGAACCAACCCCGCATGCGAGGTTTGGCCGGAACGGCGCAAAATTTTCTCCCACTCACTAAACCCCCATACCTTCCAATTCGGGTCGGGTGGTAAACATTTTGGTCGGGTCGGGCTCGGGTCGGGTTTTACTATTTTATCTCGGGTCGAGCTCGGGTCGGGTATTTTCAGAAAAACTCAGTTCGGGTAAAATTCGGGTACAATAGTAAAAAAAAATACCAATCGCAAAATAAATTAAAACTATGGAAATAATAATAAGGCAAAGAAATAATCAAATTCAAACAAAAATATCTGAGATCAATGGATATTTATTTATTCCGTTTCAAATTTTGCTGCAAAAACACCAGCTCTTCAACATGTTGTGTTAAAAGACGCTCCCTCTTTTCGTTTACTACCATCCCAGCAGCAGAGAAAACTCTCTTGCTTGCAACCTCAGTTGCAGGAATACCAATGAATTCTGTACATTACGTATTATTCTGAATACATATGTTTTGACTCTTCACTTTTACTTTCGGCTAATATTTGCTAATCTACCCCAAGTCCCAAGCGAAAAGTGAAACATAACTTAGCCAAGCCGAGGTTGGCTCAGTTTGAGCCAAGTGTGAGCGGCTACTAGGTACTCAATCGAGAAGGCATTGGCATCGATCCAGATGACATATACTCGTCCGATGTCGATGCAAACTTGTGTTTGTGACTAATTTTGACATCATTTTATCCCAAAACTTTGTTTATTACAATTATTTGTGAAAATTATCAGTGTTTGAAAAGAAAACTAGATATTCCAGGCTCAGCTGTTACCCGCCCGAAATGCCGGGTATCGGCACAGGCCCGCCCGATCTTCGGGGAAATTACCCGGGTGTGTAATAGGCCCGCCCGACCTTCGGGTAACGAAAGCCCGCCCGAGGATACCCGAATTTTCGGGTACCCGCACACCCCTACATTCAAGTGAAGCTGCCCAAAGTTTAGCACATATCTTCCAAATACAATTGGGAGTGATAAAAGAAGTTGTGTCGACACCCTGCTACTTTGAACAGTCACGCCAATCATTGCAAGCAAATGTATGGTACCTACTTGAATGTCCGTATGGAGGTTAGGATAGCACTGAAGAACAGGCAACCAAGACTCTATTGAATAAGTAAATTACTCTCAGTTATTCAAGTATTCCTATTTTTTGTGGCCATATTTGAGTTGGAAGCACAATATGCACAATATGATATGATATGACCAAAAAATATTTTGTGAACAGCTCTTTTACAGGCTGTGTATGGAATACTTGAAATGTCCTCTCAAATTGAACAGCTTGGCACCTATCTACTTGACTCACCAGCCTTAGGCTCCTCGATGTAGAAGACAACGTCACCTTCACTGTCTCGCCTGTTGTTACACTCCGGCTGACTCTGCACCTGCGACTGCGGAGGCTCCATCTTGTTGCGGGACTTCCGTCTTTTCAACACACTAGCCTTCTTTGCCACTTGAAGCATCAGTGACTGTCATACAACACTACAGATTAATATTGGGAATTAGATATGTCCTGTGGACAGCGAACACATAACAAAATAGAAGCGCTACTTCAAGCGCAGGAACTTTTCAGTCTGGTTGGCGGGCAAATCGTACAGAGATGGCGGCCCTATCCTAGTCCCGGCGTCTGCAGCACGCTAGTCGACTGTGTATTAGCTATAAGAGCAAATAAGAACCCTTAGGCCTATATACTAAGTTTAATAGCTAGTAAGGGCAGCGGAGGACTAATACAACCTTCTAAAGTGTATTTAAAATCAGTAGATTTTGAAAAAAATATTTTCAAAGTAAGTTTAAGTTGCGAATATTTTGAATATCGAGAATATAAGTGTAAGGGAAAACAATATAATTAAGGACTTGATGAGCAGAGTACTTGGACAATGTGTAGAAGTAAATTTGTTTCCAAATAGCACACATTTCTTAGGATATGAAATGTACAACCATTTTTGTTTAGTAATTAAAATGATCATTCAAAAACATTTCAGTGTTAAATTTTGCTACTACTGTAAAATAATGAATGTCTTCAGTCTTCACATAAATAAAATCAGGCAACATCTTGATGAAACTGGGATCTGAGACAATAAATTGAGTGTTATAAAAAAAAAATGAATGTTTTATTTAACCCACAGAATTATCTTTAGTAGGGCATTAAAATCTAATTATTCCTTAAAAAATTCAGTGCTAAGCTGTTGAAAATTCTTTATTTATTTTTTCTTTAATAATACAATAATACAAAACAACAAACATTGCAACCCTGCACACTACATTGATAGCCCTCATCCTAGCGACACGGCGGATGTGGAGCAAAGCATCGGCAATGGACCCCTTTTATACCTGCATTTTTAATGAAGCCGAGCTTGATAACAAAAAAAATTTTTCTCAAAATACAATTTTTTTATGTCCAAATCTAAAAAATGAAACAAAACAAGTGTAAAACATTTACCTAAATCAATTACTTTCGTAGATATCTGATTAAAAGATAGGGCATTTGCCAGGGATTATTAAGGAAATTGACAGGAAATCAGGCTTGCCTTTTAATAAGTCCATAGAGACATATATACAGGGTGACAAAAAAGTCTGGAAACGGCTTAATATCTTTTTAACTAAATCCGTTAGAATAATCAAACCTTTCACATCAACTTATATGTATGAAAACTTCTTTTTGCAAGCATTACCATTTTTTTACCTTCGCCAGGGGACGACCCATGAGGAGTCTGTACAATCTCTAATTATTAATTATCTAATCTTTAATTATTGTAAGCATATCATTTTAAAGGGCTGGTCAAGTGGAGTTCATTGCCGGAAACCGCGTCTCAAAAGGTTCATCGGTTACAAAATGGCGGCAGTCCAAAGTTCTTGGGGAAAATACCTGCACAGGCCTTAGTATTGGTAAATACTCATAAACATTGCCCGGGAAAGCTGAAACCTGGTTAGATTTGTTTTGAAGATAAAATAATATTTGTCTATGAGCTATTTAACTTTAAAATACAATTTCAGCCCTCAAGCTAATGTTGACTATGAGTATTTATTTATTTACCAATACTAATGCCTGTGAAGGTATTTTCTACAAGAACTTTTGACAGCTGCCATTTTGTAACGGCTGAACCTTTTGAGACGCGGTTTACGGCAATTAACTCCACTTGACTAACCCTTTAAAATTATGTGCATATCCACCTGTGCTTACATTAGAGATTATTTAACTACTCCTCATGGGTCGTCCCCTGGTGAAGGTCAAAAATGGTAATGCTTGGAAAAAGTGGTTTTCATGCATATAACTTGATGTGAAAGGTTTGAATTTTATAACGGATTTTAGTTAAAAAGATAAGCCGTTTCCAGACTTTTTTGTCACCCTGTATATACAACACAAAAGTACATTAGAAATGTTTGTGGTCACTGACAAAAACGTGGTCAGTGACCAGTGACCACGAAAATTTCTATTTTTGTGTTGTATATCATTATGTCTATATTAGTCCAGGACCTGACTAGGGTTCTGTGTGCATGTCGTGTATAGAGAATTTTGCTTTTGCATTTCAATATAGGTGTCTTAGGAAGTGTTTTCCACTCGGGTGTCAAGTTCGCACCTGGTACGTTTTCGAGCTATGACGTCATCAAAATGGCGGCCATTGAATTTTTTAAATCGTATATTTCGCAAACTATTTGTCGGATCGGAATGAACTTTTTTTTGTTTGAAAGATAATTTTAAATGCTACCTGTTTTACATTTACACATTTGTTGTATGTTTGGTACATTCTTCGTAATTATGCAAAAACCTGTATTTTTAAATATTTTTGTGTTATTTTTGTTTGTAACGTTTTATTGATACAATTTATCAAAAAGCACCAATGAAAAAAGTTGTAGAACGTTTAAAAATCTTTACAAAAATACCAAATTTGATATGTTTTACTCAAAAGATTACGTCAAGAAACTAGATAAATCTCATAAAAACACCAATTTTGGCGCAAAAACGCCTATTAGTCCGGCATCTAGGGCAGTTCGCAAGTCTTATAAAGACAGTTTTACCATTCAATGTTGATTTATGTGTCTAAATAAGTGTTTTCAACTCGGGTGTCACGTCTGCACCCACTGCAGTTACCGGTTATGACATCATTAAAATGGTGGAAAGGGCTATATTAAAAATAACTATATTTTACATACCATGTATCGGATCGGAATGAACTTTTTTTTGTTTGAAAGATAAGTTTACATGCTATCTTTCTTACATTTACACTTTTGTTGTATGTTTAGTACATTTTTCGTAATTTTGCAAAAACCTATATTTTTAAACATTTTTGTGTTATTTTTTTCGATAACGTTTTATTGATACAATATATCAGAAATAACTTAAAGACAAAGTTGTAGCACGTTAAAAGAGCTTTACAAAAATACCAAATTCGACATGCTTTACTCAAAGGATCACGTCAAGAAACTAGAAAATCGTACAAAACAACCTAATTTGGCGCAAAAACGCATATAAATCCGACATCGATGGCTGTGTACGAGTCATATATAGACAGTTTTACCATTCAATGTTGATGTATGTGTCTATAGAAGTGTTTTTAACTCGGGTGTCACGTCTGGACCCACTGCAGTTTCCGGTTATGATGTCTTTAAAATTGCTACATGTTACGATTTCACCAACTATTTTACTTAAAATAAGACCATTACCCTCTTTTATGCAAATAAAAACACAACAAATCAATTAATTAGTCCATTAATTAGTAATTAGTCTAAAGGAATGTTTCCATTATATAAATACCCCGGTGCAGCAATGCTGTCGACTAAGCGAATTTCCATTTGCCTGGATTGATTTTCAATTAATCTATTAAATTAACATTGTTTAAGAATACCTAGGTTTGCTGCTTAAGGGAAACTAATAAAGTGGATTTTATATTAAAATATTAATAGCTTAGTATTGGATAAATAAATCTGCCAAGTTTGATCAAAATATATCCATAAACAAGCCAACTACTACAGTTACAATATTGTCCATAAGAATAACATTGGAATTTTAAATGAAAAATGTTTTTATTTTCTCAGTAACCAATAACCGTTCAAAAACACTTTTACCGTTCAAAAAACCTAGGTATGTACTCTTAAACAATGTTAATTTAATAGATTAATTGAAAATCAATCCAGGCAAATGGAAATTCGCTTAGTCGACAAGATTGCTGCACCGGTGTATTTATATAATGGAAACATTCCTTTGGACTAATTAATGGACTAATTGGAGTAATTCTAATTAATTGATTTGTTGTGTTTTTATTTGCATAAAAGAGGGTAATGGTCTTATTTTAAGTAAAATAGTTGGTGAAATCGTAACATGTAGCAATTTTAAAGACATCATAACCGGAAACTGCAGTGGGTCCAGACGTGACACCCGAGTTAAAAACACTTCTATAGGCACATACATCAACATTGAATGGTAAAACTGTCTATATATGACTCGTACACAGCCATCGATGTCGGATTTATATGCGTTTTTGCGCCAAATTAGGTTGTTTTGTACGATTTTCTAGTTTCTTGACGTGATCCTTTGAGTAAAGCATATCGAATTTGATATTTTTGTAAAGCTCTTTTAACGTGCTACAACTTTGTCTTTAAGTTATTTCTGATATATTGTATCAATAAAACGTTATCGAAAAAAATAACACAAAAATGTTTAAAAATATAGGTTTTTGCAAAATTACGAAATGACATCCCAAGTTGTGATAGAAATGATCTCATGTTGTTACACATTAATATAAGATCAATTCAAAACAAATTAAATGAGCTGCAATATTGTTTGGATATGTTAAACTGCTCCATATTATGTGTTAATGAGCACTGATTGAAAGATTTTAATGTTGACTTGTCTGTTCCCTTTAATTTTAGGTTAGCAGTTGCTTACTGTAGAGTTAACACAATTAGAGGAGGCACTGCCATATACAGGGTGTCCCGTAACTCTCTGGACATATGTATATAGTGTTATTCCTTAGGTCAAGACAAACACATTTCACCATAGGAACATGGGTCTGTGGGGTCTAGTTTACCGACTGTCGGTATTTATATGTTTTTTACAAAAAAACTAATAACTCCTAAACGGTTTGAGATACAGCTTTGATATTTTACAAAAATGTTTATCTTATTAAGACCTTTTATCGTTAGAAATTATACAAAAAAATCATTAACCGTTTCAAAATGGCGGCCATTTAAAATATTTGATGCCAAATTTCACGAAAACCGTTAACTTTACAAAAAAAATGCAAGAGACAAAAAAGTTTGTAAATTTTATTTAGTTTTCAATGATATCTTATTTGTTAAGATTGGATAAATAATAACAGAGAAATGTCTTCTTTTCCAAATGCCTGACCACTTTTCTCCATTTAAACAATGCTAATACTTCTTTAACGTTGTTTAGCATTGTTTAAATGGAAAAAAGTGGTCATACATTACGAAAACAACTAGTTTCTCTGTTATTATTTATCAAATCTTA